GGGGGGGGGGGGGGGTGGTTGGGTTGGCTCCCAATTTCTGGATTTTGTGATGGAGATAGTGTCTGAAAGTTCATTGGTTGAGGATGCCAAAATCCATTCTACAAGCACTTGAGACTTGTCTTAGCTGAGTGGAATTAGGTGTCATATTTTTTTATATTAGTTAATTAATTAATTTATTTTTTATAAATAATGTCGAGTTTTTATTGAAGCTACGAGTATAGACATATTGATGCTCAATTTTTGTTTTAGATATTAGTATTCACTTCAATTGCAATTTTAAAATCAGAAAGTACTAGAGTTTTTGTCTTAAAACCCTCGTTCATCGAGAATACATATGGTCCAAAACCCTTTGTTGCATCTCATAATAATAATTCTAAAAATTATTAGTAATTAAATTTCTCATAAAATTATCAAGTAGGCAACACATAATTTAAAATACAAGAAGTTGAGGTATGTATGAGTAGAATACAACTAATGTTATTATATCTCCAATACCTTATAAGTCAATATTTGTCAAGAGAATGATAGAATTGAAATAAAATATAATCTTTATGGAATTTAGAGTTTCATTGAGATAAAATATCAAGATTAGGATGTCATTCATATAAACAAAAATGATAAGACTTAATGAGTGTGTTTGGAAGATTGAGTTAGACTTGATTGGAGATCTAAAAAAAGATATTTTCCTATCCAACCCAAACTCATCAAATTTAATGGCTATGTCTTATAATTTCCCGTGTTTGAATAACACATGAGCACTCCTGAGGGACTCATGGAGGAAGATGATGAAATATGGTACTATTGATTATTTTGTCCTTAATCTATTCAATTCAACACCATGTTTGGTTTATAAATTAGTCTTTGATCAATTCAAAACAAAATTTTCTTACATGTATTTTTAAAAATGTTGTAATTTCATATCATCTAGACAGGTGTTCATATGGTATGAGGACTATTGAGAATTAACTCAAACTCTCATTAATTATTATTTTATTATTAGTTGTTATTTAATAATAGTCGATATTATTTTATTAAAGTTAATTTATCTATCTTTCTATCTATATCTATATCTATACTACTATAAAATGTCAACAAGAGTGAAAAACTTTCGATTGACCATAAGAACCTTAACAAAACAGCTAATTCCAATACTACCTTCTTTTAATTATAGTATTTTAAAATAATACCATACTTACCACATCGACGTTTCACTCAACTATTCTGGCATATTTTCTTCGTTTCCAACTCTCTCTCTCTCTCTCTCTCTCTAATGACTTTGGACTTTTGGCATGCCATTAATTCCTAGCATGCCGTTTGAACCATCTTAATTCACTCAGGATTCAATACCTATTCTTTCAACAGACCACCTCTTCGCTTTCTTTTCTCTGCCACTAATTTAATTTTTATCTCTGAACAATACCACAATTATTTTATTTCTAAATGTAAGTTAATGACATATAAAAAATAATGAATGCTGCTTAATGCCAAAGAAGGCACTCCGTCTCTCTCTCTCTCTCTATAATTTACAAAGCCAATTAGGTGCATTAATTCCTTGAACAGATTTATGCTTTGGCTTTTGGTTTTTGACAAAGCAGAAATCATCATTATCTATCTCTCCTTCTCTCTACCCCTTTCTATAACGGCAAAAAATAAATAATGGGAAATTAATATACTAAGAAATTATCTCTCTTTTAGTCGGCAGCCATAGCTGCTCTTCCATACCTAGACACTGGACAATAGAGCTCTCCAATTGGGTACAATACCCTTGCAAATCTATAGCCAAGGAAGCTCTGAGACCAACTTCCCCGAAAGATCAAATGGCTCGTCGCTCTCATTGTATTTTAGGTCAGTCTTTCTTTATATTCTTCAATCTAAATTTTTTATCTATATGCATATTTATATAAGCATATTAATTATTCTATGAAGAACAAAATCAGAGAACATAGAGTAGAAGGGAAAAGAAGCAGGAAATCTGCATTCTTTGATTGAAAAACTTAGAAAACTTACAAAGTTGAGCTAACTATATTGAATGGTATGCCGGCAAATTCTTCAATGTATATATACAGTAAAAGGTTTTGAATGCTTTTCCTATTCCATGGTTATCCTTGACTCCCTCGCTGTTGGCTTTCTCATCAAGTTGATCTCATGGGCTACAAGGAACACATAAGCACCTAAGCTCCAATTTTTGTAGCATTTTTACTATCTGGATTTGCTTTATATTGATATATATATATTTTTTTTTTAATTTTGGTTGGTTGTATTCAGAATTTTTATGATTTTGGTCTGTTTCATTTTTGAGCTTATAAACTGGTTTAGTGGGTTTTGAGGTTTTTGTATTTTTTATATATTTATTAGTTTGGTCAGTTAGGTTGTTATGACATGTTAGATTGAACATATAACTGTGACAGAGTATGTCGAAGGCGGCGGTTTCCGTTAGATAGCATCAAAAGTAACAAGCCTATTTTTAATATACTGGTTTTAAGGTACCTCTAGGAGAGAAATTTTCGGTGCTACTTTAGTTGTCCCTTCTTTTGATCATCAATGGTTATGCCCTTATTGCTTTTACTAAGATGAACTTCAACATGATTGGTAACTTAATTATGTGTATGTACTTACATTGTTGGACTCGAACCAAAGCCAAGTTAATTCAAATAGCAAGTATCCTTACAAGTATATTTCAATTTTTCTATTGATGAAAGAATAACAATCACGTCTTTAGTTATTGCTGTTAGAGTAGTTAAGTTATTTAGACTTAGGGGTAGTTTAGTCATTTTGTTTACTTTTATGTTGTCCTAGTTTAGTCTGATTATTTTTGTTTTTGTCTTATTATATAAAGACTTCTTATATAGTAATTTTCTTTAATGTAGTTTTTTTTTAAGGTTGTTCTGGCTTATTGTGCCTTAATAATATTCTGTTCTTCTTTCTATTACTTTTCTATGATTGATCAAAGTTAACATGGTATCATAGCATGGTTTCAATCCAAAATATATTGTAGCACCACAGTAATTTAGTTGGAGAAAGAATATATTCTTGGATTAGGGCTGACATCATCTATGGGGATTTATTCTTGGATTAGGGTTGCTGATTTTTTTTTTTGGTTCTAAGGGCTATGAACAGTGTTGAAGGTACTGTTCACGCGCTATGAACAATACTGAAGTTACTGTTCACGAGCTGTGAACAGTGTCAAATTCGATTGTTATGGGTATTTAATTTGTAAAATTGTTGAGTTGATTTGTGATGAACTTTGCATTGTTTGACGTTGGCTGCTTCTTCTCTTCTGTTGGTGCTTCTCGTTGTTGGGTCTTCCTCGCTGAACTAGTCTTTGCAAGGTAAGAAATCCTAACTACTAGGGTTTGTTAATTTTGGCTATTGCTGGTTTGTTGGATTTGTTTGTTTAGGCTTGCTATTTGACATGGCGTTGCATTGTTTGGGTTTGTTTGCATTGTTTCGCACTGAATAAGCAGGAAACTTTTGGTTCCTTTTTTACTGGTTGGTGGGTTTGAGCTTTTGGGGCTGATTTTGTGAATGAACGACTGAGTGAGTATTTGATTTACAAAGTTGTTGAACTTTGGTTTTCTGTTGGGCCCTTATATGCTATTTGGGTGTTGAGTTAAGGTTGTTGGGTTGCTAGATTTTGTTTGTTTACTTTAATATTTGCTTTGAATTGCTTCATTTGGGTATTATGGCCAGTGAAAATTCTGATTCTTTTCAGGTTATCAGTGTCAAATTAAAAGGTGAGAACTATGTATATTGACCTTATGTTATGAAAAATTTCTTGTTGGATAAGGAAATGTGGAGATATGTTAGTAGTGATTCGTCAGCTCCAACTGATCCTAAGGTCGAAAAATATGTTGACTTAAAGAATACTTGGGAAATCAACAACGCTAAAATCATCACTTGGATTAACAACTCAGTTGATCAGACTATTGATGTTCATTTGACTAAGTTTAATACAACTAAGGAGATTTGTGATTATTTAGTTACCTTATTTGTTCAGTCTAATTTTGCAAAGAGGTATCAGTTAGAGCATGAAATTCGAGCTGCATGTCAGGGTGATAAGAACATTCAGGAGTTCTACTCAGTTATGACTGGGTATTGGGATCAATTAGCACTTGCTGAACTGAGTACTTATACGATATATCGCATTTTTAGAGAGGAGCAGAGGTTGGTGCAATTTTTGATGGCTCTCAGGGATGACTTCGTGGTTCTATTCTTCATCGTAATCCACTTTCCTTAGTGGATGCAGGAGTGAATGAGCTTCTGGCTGAAGAAGTTCGTCTTAAGACTCTTTCTGGGAAAAGTCTTATTTCATTGCCTACTCAGACTGTATTGGCTATGCCTCCCATGGTGACTTCTAAATATCAGGGTCGTGTAGCTTTAGATGAGTGTAGCTTCTGTCATGAGAAGGGTCACTGGAACGCTCAATACCTTAAATTGATGAACAAAAATGCAATTGCAACACTAGTGGATGAGTCCTCCTCACAAGCACCCAATCTAACTATGCTTGCTGATCAGTTGCAACAGTTAATCTCTCTCCATCAGCCTGGTGCACTTACAGTATCTCCTTCAATAGGTTTATTTACCTTAGGTCCTTCAAGATCTACAGTCCAACAAGCTGATTGGAACATGCCATAGAAAGGGAGGACTGTATGCAGCTAGCAGATTTCTTCACAAAATCGCATCATGTCACTTGCTTTCGTTTTTTTCTTGACAAACTCTTGATGTTTTCTGCTACCACATCATGAGTTTGAGAGAGGATATTCGAGTACTTAGGTTATTTAGACTTAAGGGTAATTTAGTTATTTTGTGTACTTTTATGTAGGCCTGACAATTCTAGATACGACTCGTGAAACCGACACGAATCTGACACGGATTTAGCGGGTTTAGGTATAGTCTTAACAAGTTCAGGTAGTTAACGGGTTAACTCGATAGACCCGTGAAATTAATGAATCGGTTTTGTGTTTAACCTATAAACTCGTTTTAACCTGTTAACAATGGTACTATAATTTTTTTTTAAAAAAATTAAGTCTCTCAATCTCTGCCTCATCTCACAACTCTCATCTCTTAGACTCATTCAAATTTAATAGTCATTTAATATTTTTTTATTTTTTTTATTTTTTTGCTTAGTTATAATTTATTGTTATAGTAAACAAGTCAAATATGTGTAATGTGTAGTAAGTTGATGATTTTTCGTGAGTACTCGAAATATTTAACATATTCTCTTATTTAACGGATGACATACGGGTTGTATCGGGTAACCCGCCTAATAAATAATTCGTGTATGATTGTGATAGTTGAACTCGTTTATATAAACGAATGAGATATGGATGAAGAGTTTTTTGACATAAACATGTTCCACATGACACGAAACCGTTCCACTTGACACGGTTGTCGGGCCTACTTTTATGTTGCCCTAGCTTAGTCTGATTGTTTTCTTTTTGTCCTACTATATAAAGACCTCTTATATAGTAGTTTTTCTTAATGTAGTTTTCTTTTAAGGTTGTTCTGGCTTATTGTGCCTTAATAATATTTTGTTCTCCTTTCTCTTACTTTTGTATGATTGATCAAAGTTAACAATTGCAACTATATATGTCTTTCTTCTTAGAAAAGAATAACAAACTCATCTTTAGTTATTACAATTATATATGTGTATCTTCATAAAACTAAATAATTTAAGGCTATAACTTATTGTAATGGTGAAAATTGTTGCACAATTTCAATGGTTTGGTCAGTGAAACTGGTTATGGTTTCAATTTAAGAAGTAATTTTTTTATAATAGTTATATTGGATGAAATCTTTTATTATCGATAAAAGTTGTAGTCATAAGACGGTCAAAACCATATATGATCAATGTACTCCCACTATTTAGGTATATACTCAATGCCTACAATAAGAAATTTGCTCATTGTCTTTCTCTGGTTAATTTTGGTGGCTATGGTTCTGACTTCCCAGATATTGCCTATGTTAGTAGAAGAATAGCAAGGGCAATACCCTTGTATAGCTGCTCATTGGTAGTGGCTACTCTGCTATTGGGGCCTAATGTAAATATCTAGCTTTATTGAAAAAATACACAGAAATATAAGATTTAAGGTTGTGGGTCACAAGTTTGCCAACATCATTCAAATAGTTGGATTTAAACCCATGTGATTTTCCATTGGATTTTTGGTTGTGGATGAAGTTTATACTCATTCAAAGGCATGGAGAAAATATATAAAACTTCAGTCTTGAATGTTAATTCTTCATGCCTTTATGGGTCAAGTGATACACCAGGTTAGTATGCCCTACACTCCCCTACATACAAAATGTAATCAAATTCTACCTTTTTTTATAGCTTTAAAGTTTGATTGTGATTCAAAAGAACTGCAAAAGGACAAAACAAAAGAATAGAAAGTGTTGCAAAAAAATCATACCCATGCATAGTTCTTAATGTGACAATGGAAATCAAAGATATTTTTTAGAATGAAACCATGACATTGGTTTGTCCAACAATTTACTTTCTTTAGGTGAGGACTCGTCCTATTGTCTCAATAATCAAGTATCTTAGGCTTACATATCTTTTTCACATGTTACACATATGACCTGTTAGGGTATTGATTGTCTTGATAATCAACAATTTATATTTGGTCAGATTTTTACTACATTCATTCAATAAATATGTTTTAATAGTTGAAACAGGGAAAACAAATAAAAATTAGAAAATATAATTTAAAACGGTTCATGTGCAACGCACGTGTGCACCTACTGGTTATTTAAATTAGTTGTTTTGTTAGAAAAGATATCTTGGTTTTCTTGAGGTATGTCACTAGAGACCAAACAAATTTGTTGAAAAAAAAATTCAGATCTGTGAAAAAACAGGAGGAGGATATGAAGCAGACAAGATAGAAAAGAACGTGACAATTCGGTCATTTGTATTAGTTATACTGTTTGGCAAAAAAAAAAAAATCCAATATCCCCATTGGGTTTTATTTCACTCATTTAAATGGACTAAAGTTAACTTTTTAAATCGAGTTGAGATAAAATTTGAATAAAATTTTCAATATATTTTTTACTTATCAAATGTGAGATATTTGGACCTTTCATTTTTTTTTATCCTTTCCTATTTGAGTTATTCCTTTTAACTCGCGATTCAAACCTACCAAACAAATATTTGTGGGGGAAAAATAATACCAAAGCAGGGATCTACATGGGTGTGGCCCTAGTTAGAAAGCTTTACTTAAAGAATATGTTACTTTCTATGTGACATATTCTTGTCGCGTGCTAAAACATTCGATTGGACCATGAACCCACTTGAGAGATCACAAATTTACTTTCATTAGTTTGTTGATATTTCATTTCGTCACAACTACTACTTATACAAAGCTGCTTCTTTTCTTCTCAAGTACTTATAAAATTGCTCTTTCTTTTTTCCTTTTGACTTATTTATAAACCTCTCTCCAACTAAACACATACTACCCTTTCGACAATATAAACATATTTTCTTAAAACACTACCTACACTGAACACAGATCAATCCGAATCCGAATCCGAATCCGAATCCGAGGATCAGGTCAGCCTCCGTTGTTCATCATCTAGACTATTTTGCTAAGCGATACGCCTCATGGAGTAGGTAGAAATTGCATAGTTCACCATAAGAGCATCATATAATCTCGGATGATCGCTCTCCAGTCCGTAATCTATCATGGGATAGTACTCCAGCTCCTGGTCATGATTGTACACGAACTCTGGTATCTCTATCTCCTTCTTCCTCACGTTGTCCCATAGATACTCCAACCTGCTCACGTACTTGAGCTTCCGATACAACCTGTATATACATTAACAACTTCCACAAGCTCATAAGTGGTAGTACTGACACTGAAAGGCACTTGAGTTTGTTGAAATGGCGTTATTTGAGCGGTTAAAATGGTAACATGAACGAAGGGTGGAGAGAGAGAGAGAGAGAGAGAGAGAACTTTACCCTCCGCTGAAGAGGAAGAGACCGATGCTAGCAAGGAAGAGTCGGGACTGAAAGCCAGGGTGCACGAAATAAACAGCCTCCAAATTATCTCTGACGTTCACCGGAATCGCATTGTAGACTGATCGGAGAACCGATACACCGGGAAAATTCTCTCCTCTGTTGGCGCCGGTGTCCAAGTACACCACTGAAAATGGTTGCTCACCTAAACTTGGGAAGACCCTTTCTTCCAAATACTTCTTTAAAGCCTCAACGCCCACAATTCTCGCTATTGAATAACAAGACAACAAAAGAGAAGAAAAATCAATAAACATTCAAGGGGGGAGAAAATCAGAAAGACTAAGAAAGAAACAGAATTTTACCAGGAAAGAGTTTTCCGATGATGCGAAGGACTTTGTGGCCATGTTTATCTTTGCCTTGAATCTTGAAGATTTCGAGTTTTTCAATGAGTCGTTGTTGTTCGGATTGTGATAGTAATAAAGGAGAAGGAGAAGGAGAAGAAGAATTCATGGTGATGGAAGGGTGTGAGGGAAGGTTCTCTTGGTAGAGTTGGTGGAGTGTATTTTTGAAGTCTAGCGCCTTGGAGGGTTGGGGGGCTTGTCTTTGCTTTTATAGTGGAGTTTGTTGGGTGGAGTTACGAGGAAAAGGTTTAGTGAGGAGGTTGGAAAGTTAAAGCTTTGAGTTAATGAGGGATGGAGTGGTTTAAACTTCAGGGTAAATTCCATTTTATCCCCGAAAGATACAAAATTTTAAGTTTGTCTCTTAAATGATTAATTTTTTTATATTATCTTCTCATCAAAATAAAAATTTATGATATAGTCCATCGTCTTATTTTTGTTTGGTCATCTATCTATTTTGTGATTCATATTAGTTAATTTAGCACAAAATAGACGAACATCCAAGCAAAAATAAGATGGTGAATCTTTAACTTTTTTATTTTTTTAAGGGACAATATAGAAAAATTAACTATTCAAGAGATAAACTATTAATTTGTATACCCTTCAAGGGGCAAAATGGAATTTTTCCTAAACTTTAACATGTGGGAGGAAGGCCACCTTATCTGTAGTTTTTGGCTTTGAAAGGAAATTTATTGAATTGGAGAGAGAGGGGG